CCCCCCCCCACATTCCCTCACCTGCCCACTGGAATGGCAAAGTAGAAGACCATAAGAGCCTTGGTTCTCATCTCCTTGGCAAACAGGTCAGCGATGATCGTGGGGGCGATCGTTGAGTAGCTGGCCTCTCCCACGCCCACCAGGGCACGCAAGAGCACAAAACCATAGAAATACTGGAACAGAGCACATAACAAACTGTTCTGATTTCTGCGCAAAAGCAAAATCTTAAATCACTAACGAAAAAAAACACCAAAAAATGTTTAAAAATAAGAGAGCAACAACAGAAGCAACACATAATAAATCAATCAAAGTATAAACACAGCCCAACAACACTCTCTGAATCTAACAATAACAATTTACTCAATGAATCTTCATACATTTAATTTTTATGAATTCGTTCACTTTCTGTACAACAAAAAACCATAGAGATCTCTTCAACAATGGAAAAGCGCCCAAGCAGCACTGTGTGCATTTAAGATAAAAAGCAATCACCTGAACTGTCTGCCAATTAACCCATTTCCCTCCTTGAGGGTTTTTTTTTTTCACATTAAATTGACGCTGTGTAAGATGTCCACTTGCCTTTAACAACCATTTTTTTCCTCAACAATGGGTAGCCGTCCTCTAAGACAATTTGAACTGTATTTTTCAGAAATCAAGGTAGGTAGCCAGCCTCCCTCCACAAACTTTACTACAACCACCAAAATATTTTTAATACAGCCAAGGACAGTCCAAAGTCTGTATTATAAACTAGAAACAGCACAGTAAACCTTCAACCAAACCAGTTGTCAGACTAGTACCGAGGTACAACATCCACTTTCAAACTAGAAACATCGCGTACCTAGACCTTGAACAAACTGACACTGCTTACAAGCTCTCCCACCCTTCTCAAACTAGATATCTAGAAGAAATTTTGTTTTAATTTTTACTTTCAACTTTCGGAAGGAGTTCCGCAGAAGGCCGGCCGACCAACAAAACAAAAGAAGGGATATTTTGAGCGGGGTATACGTATACCCTAACCCTAACTCTTGTAGTTTGCTCAGTGGACCTTGTCACGGTAAGTGCCGGCCCTCTGCGGAACTCCGCCCAAACTTTAAATTGAATCAGAGACCTTGACAATAACTTACATCTGCCGGCACAAAAGAACTGCAGAGCGTCAGGAGTGACCACAGCAGTATGCCGACAGCCATAAGGTACTTGCGGGTGTAACGATCGCCGAGGTAGCCAAACACGGGCGAGCACAACATGTATGTACAGATGAAGGCCGTCTGGATGATTCCTGCTTCAGAATTGTTCAGTCCGTAGTAGTCCTTTACTTCGATCAACACTCCTGAAATGAATTATATATACACAATAAAAAAACAGAACTTAACAATATAGACTCAAAACTCAAGACATTCTGAATAATCAGAGATAGCTTTCAAATCAAATAGGTCTACTTTCTTGGATAAAAAATAAAATAAATAAATAAAGCTTACAGTGTCACATCAACGTATATTAAATTATAAATCTAGATCTATATATTTACTTTAATGATGACTGCTACTGCTACTGCTAGTGCAAGAAACTTAAAATTAATTTTCTGCAAGACCTTTTTTTTATTTTGAAGAGTGAAGAAAAAAAGCATTATAAAGCTAAAAGTAAAAGACTTAAAAATAGAAATCTAGTAGGTAGCAACACCAAGAACTGTGAGTGTACTTAAGAGTACTTAAGAACAAAGCCAAAGAATAAGATCAAGGACCATAGAATGAAAGCATGAAGCTTGGTGGGGTAGTCCATGAATGAAAGAGCTAGATCTAATCTAGAACTAGATCTAGCTTGATTAACGAAAAAGCTAGCAGCTCAGTCAGATTAGACTAGATCTAGATTTAGAATCTTGCTCTTTAGACTTCAGATTAGAGATGGAGATCCAATTCTCCTGAATTCGGAATCTGAACTTATTTATAAGGGAGTGTATACAGACCCGGTAACCGGGAATAAAGTCACAAAGTATACAGACCCGGTAGGGGAACTCTTTTGTGATTTCGGAAAGTTTCAGCACCCTCTTGGCTCAGGGTAGAACTAGGTTCTTCTAGACCTATGGCCTAGGTCTAGATCTAGACAGACAGATATATATATATAAATCATTGATCTAGTTTCGAGGCTAGACTAGATCTAGATCTAAAACTAAATGAAGATTGCGGATGTCTTTTCGATGAACGATCGTTTTTCC